TATATGTTTAAAAAAAGAATTATTAATGTTAGCAGCAGTTGTGCTGCCAAATATTTTTTTGACAGTTGACAGAGAATACTTATATCGAGCTTTGTGAGCCCGCTGAACCTGATCTAAACCAGGTTAGATTTGTTTGGTTTTGCCAACTCTAAACTTACTCTGAAACTCTGAGTTTGTTCATTTCGCTTCGTGCTACAGGCCACAGGTCCTAAAACTTAAATTAAAATATAAAATCAATCAGTTATTTTAGTTACTATTAGTTACTAATTTAAAGAAACTATGATATATTAAAATAAGTTAAGATGGGGACCTTAACTTATAGGGTTAGGAAGTATCAATATCTTTGTGGACAATGCAGTGCCTTGCAGTCAATGTTGTTTCTGGTGCCAAAGACTTTGTTACACTTATATTCTGTTTTGTTTATGTTTTCATTGTGTTTTGGTTCTGTCGTCTTTGTTTTGCCATTTGACCTATAGTTTCTTGCTCTGTTTAATTACTCATTTTGTTCACCTGTTGTTTAGTAAATCATCTCCTTTGTTTTAGTGTATTTAAGCCCTTCAGTTCCTTGAGTTCTTTGAACCTTTAAGCACTTTTGATGTTGTTTCTTATTGTGATGATGCTAGTTTGGATCATTACATACCATTCTCTTCCTCAAAGGTGATCAGTGCTGTTCCACCCTCCATTGGATAAACTATATGGGGATTCACATCAAAACTCACAGCATGCGCTCCCTCTTTTGTATTTCCTCGAAACACAACCCTCCTCTCAGGCACCGCTGTAGAGATCTGTGGAGTCAGTGTGGAGCCTTGTTAGTCTCACAGTTGATAATTTGTCCAAATTAAGCATTGAAGTTTTAAGTTCAAATTTATATGAATATAAGGGAAAATATAAAAAAAAAAGTTTAGATTATTATTAAAAAGTATTTCAACAAATATTGTACTGATATATTGTAGAGCCACACAGACCATTCAGCCCAGTGACTGCAGCTAAGATAAGCATGAATATATTTATTTTGACTCCGTAAACCTCAGTTTGCTTTTTCAGACTTGTGTTTCTTTGGTCCAGCTTATGCAATTCCTCCTTCACTTTCAGGATCTCCACCTGCAGCTTGGTGTTCTCGTCCTGTACAGCTCTGCATTTCTGCTGCACACAGGGACCAATTACCACAGTTTGTTTTTAAGTCTTTGGATTAGGGCATAAAATGAGTGTCTGTATTTTTATTTATACATACCTTCTCTTTCTGAATGATCATAGTACGTTTCTTTTTTTCATCCTCAATTGATGCTTTCCTCTCCTCAGAACGTTTTTTAAATTGCTCGGCAAAGTTGTTGTTGTTATCTATGCCATCTCTCAGTATTTTTTGTTCTGCCAACAATGCTTCATGCTGTGTCTGGACAGATGAGAGGACATAAGGATTAATGGTTTGTATTCTGGTTGACAAGTATCCTGGTTTACGAGCCACTCACACACCTTGTATTTGTTGATCTCCCTCAGTACATGGTCCAGACATCCCAAAGACTGACCATCCATAAGACTGAAATCCTGAGTGGACAGACAAAATGACAAACACGGTAATTTTACTGAATAGAGAATCGAATGGAAAAAAAATTGCCAGAACACTTCCTTTACCTCAGTAGACATTTCTACCTACGCAAGAACCTGTGGACAGAGAACTGTTGTAGACGGAAGAAACACATAACATGTCTTTACAACCAATGTGAAAACCTTTAAGAGCTGTTTTTCATCAAATCTTGGACATTTCGTTCGCCTAAATTGAGCTAGTTAAGTAGGCTAGTTAATAAACTTAAGCCTATTAAGAACTTAAGTTAAACATGACAGCATGATCGACGTCGCAAAAAGTTGCTTTAAAAGAAAAATATTCAACACTTTATTAGACCCAGCAGACACGTTTTTGTTTTGTTTACTATTTGTTTTGTAAAATGTTGAGGAAAATGTTGACATTAAACACTTTCACTTTTCATACGTTGCGTCTGTCACGACTACTTTTTTGTTAACAGCAAAGCACTTTAACAACAAACCATAGCGACTTCTGTGACTAGTGACTTTTCGTAGGAACCTTATACTTTTTTGTTTTGTCATGATCATTTATTTTCCACATATTTCTAAATAAACAGATGAGACAAATACATACCGTGACGAAGCAACCCGTAGTTACGGCTGTTTCGCTTTCATTTCAGGTATGATATGGGATATATTTGCTATATTCACAATGGCGGCGTCGATAGTAATTGGTAACGTTAAAGTTTCTTTAACACACACACACACACACACACACACACACACACACACGTTTCCATGTTTTATGGGGACATTACATAGACGTAATGTTTTTTTATACTGTAGGCCTACAAATTTTATTTTCTATCCCTTACCCTAAGCATAGGCTATAGCTACTCCTCACAAAACTTTCTGCTATTTTAGATTTTCAAAAAAGATCATTATGATTTGTAAGCTTATTTCCTCACTGGGATCAATAAATAAATGCCCCCACAATTTGTATTCTGTAATTTACATTTCAGACATTGCCATTTTGTGCTCATGCTTCCTCATGCTATGGCATGTTCGTGCAGGTGATCAGGGACTCTGGGCATCTTCTGGTAGGCTATTTTTCGGAGTCAGTAGAAAGGTCTCTTTATGTCTTAAGTTATGCCTATAACTCTGAGAGACCTAAATTGCCTGCCGCCTGTAAAGCGTTAGAACTGTTCAACAGGTGCATGTGCAGTACTTGTACTTATATTTTGATTGTTCTTTAATAGACTAGGCCTATACAATATCTTGGAAAAAGGGATGTTTCTTTTTTGTCTTTTGTTTTTACTATGGGGCGCCAAAAGACGAATATTCGAGTGTTCTACCCGACTGTAGGCTATCCAAAATGTTGTTTCAGCAATATGTTCAGGTAGTGCCAGGTTTCCTTTTTTTTCATATTCAAAAATGTATCAAAAGCTTTTTGATATCTCATACAGTTTTCATACAGCCTAACGGTCAGAAGACGTTTTTATTCAAAGTGACTTACAAATCACAATCTAGTGCTGTAAGAACACCAGCTTTTTATTTTATTTTATTTTTACATTTTTCATTTATTTATTTATTTGTTCTGACGAAAAAGATGCTATTTGCATTTCCAAGGAATCCAACACAGATGACACGCCTCGTATTAACGGACAGTTACATTATCCAAAGGCTGCCCTCTAATGTAGGCGGAGTTTGAGAGAACTCTACATTTAAGAGGCAAACATCTATTAATTCCAGCACCGTGTGAGAACGTTGCAAGGGGACACGGTAGGTCTTGTATTTCCATAATTCGTTTCAGACGCCCTTTGTACATTTTCAAACAGCATGGTAGTTATGTGCAAAAGTGCTTTGCTCATTGTGTTTCGTTTGTACGCGTCACTCGTTGCTATAGCAGATTTTTTTTCCCTACAATGAACTAACTCACTTTTATGTAGTACATTTAATGTTAATAAACTGTAAAAGATAATTAAATGGAATGATGAATTTAATTTACCTTTACCTTTATTTGACCCTCTAACTCTAGCACTTTCTATTCTATTTTAATTCTACTTTATCTATATTTATCTTCTTTTTTTATTAAAAAAAAAACAAAAAAACAAAACCACTAGCTTTCTATTTTTTTCTATTCTATCTACTTGTTTTTCTTTGTGTGTGTGCGTGTAATGTGTGTGTGTATATGTGTATATATGTGTGTATGTATATGTGTATATGTGTATGTATATATATATATATATATATATATATATATTTATGTGTGTGTTTGTTTGTATGTATGTATGTATGTGTGTATATGTATATATGTATATGTATTATACATGTATGTATATATATGTATATATATATATATATATATATATATACACCTTGCTACGTGTACTGTGTTAGGCTAACCGAGACTTGTCATTTGCACTTATATATTGTTGCTCTTTTGTTAGTTTTGACTGCTTTTATTGTCCTCATTTGTAAGTCGCTTTGGATAAAAGCGTCTGCTAAATGACTAAATTAATTAATTAATTAATTAATTAATTTCTTTTTATGTAAAACATTTAACTCTGTTGACAGATCGGTAACTTGGACCCCTCGGATCCACGGACTGGTCATTCACTTTAAACCGTTTACAAATCCACCTGTTCATTTAACATTTAAAAGTAAGTTGAATTGAAGTGCATCCTCTCTCTTTCTTTTACTTCAGAAGAGGTTTATTGTTTCTGAAATTAATTAATTTGAGCATTATTCTCGGTTAGAAATAGCAACTAAAAATTAATCAGTGACTAAAAAAATTTTAAAAAGTTAAAGTAGCCTACCACATTCACAGTGCCCACTTTTTGTGCAATAGAAGCTTAGGAGCTAAAACCAGTCTATCAGTCACAATGTGGCTTGGCATTCATAAGAGGGATTTCCTTTTGTCAAGAAAAGGAAAGAAAACAGCACACTTTTAATTGACTGGTCCCCTTGGTGTGCCCTCAGTCAGAAATAAGAAAATAAGATACTCACCAACTATAACAAAATCTCTTTTGCTGGATTTGAACAACTTTTTCTCAAACATTTATAACCCTGAGTTTCAGTTATTGTTTCTGGGGTCAGCGTAGTTTCTCTGGTAAGCTTTTGCTTCAAATTTCTAGATGTGAAAGAGGAAGTGGTACACAAATTAAAATCATACTTGCACTGTTATAGCTCAACAAAACAGGATACAGTGATTTATACATCTGAAAAGGTTTGTTAAATTGTGACCCTGCATCTTGGACGTGAAGGTCTGATGGGTTACAGTATTCCAAATGAATGAAAGTTTGTATTTGCATTTTCAGCTTAAACACATCAGACACTTTTCACATTTCAAATCTGTTACTTTTAACATTTTAACTCTCTCTCATTCCATTCAGATGTTGAAAGTGACATTCGGCCTCGCTCTGGTGACTCTGGTTGCTTGCTCGCAGTACCCCAACAATGAAGTCTGTGAGGCAGGCCAGACATGCTGCCAGGGTCCCACTGGAGAGTTCAGCTGCTGCCCTTTCCATCACGTGAGCAACTAAACTAGTGACAGATACATAAAGACAGTTTCAGTTCAGAGTATTAGTGCCAGCTACTCTTCTATAAACATAATAAAGGTTGTAGAAAGTAGATTAGACAAGACGAGAAGGTCAATTGTACACTGATATGGAAGACAGTGTTCTGCGGTCACTCGTTTTTTATGCTCTGTCAGATATAGCACCCTTTTTTTAGACACATTCACACTGTCAGCTCATGTAATAAGGGTTATGATAAGGCACTCGTATAGTATCAACATGCAAATTGCTCTTTGATGACTTTGCTATTCAAAGAGCTCAAAGAAATTAAGCTGTATTCAGGAGGTTGTGTGTCAAATGTCCAGCTTCAGTATTGCTCAATGAACTGTTTACAGTATGTTTGTGTGAATGATCAGCTCATACGTGTGTATAATTATTTGTGTGTCTGTGTGTGTGTGTAGGGAGAGTGTTGTGAGGACCACCTGCACTGCTGTCCTGAAGGCATGCTGTGCAGTGTTGTAAACTCCACGTGTATAAACGCCACACATACACTGCCATTTGTGGAGAGGATACCGGCTAAACGGACAGACCTTCCCAAAGTGAAAAATTATAAAAAGATTCTAAATAATAGTACTCGAAGCTGTTTGTTATGTTACAAAGAGATAGTTCAACCAAAAATTCTGTTATCATTTACCCACCCTTCATTTTGTTCCAAATCTGAAAGTAGATATTTTGAAGAATGTTGGTAACCAAACCAACGTGGTAGCCATTGAGTATTTTTTTCCATACTATGGAAAATGAGGGTGAGTGAATGATGACAGAATTTTCATTTATGGTGAACTGTCCCTTTAATAATCCTCATTCCTCAGTCGCTCAGAATGATTCCCTCATTACCTGCAAGTGAAGATGACACCACCTGTCCTGATGGCTCATTCTGTCCTGCTGAGTTCTCCTGTCTGCTGATGGCTTCATCATATGGGTGTTGTCCCGTAGCACAGGTAAGTTACATTATCACAGGAATATGGGCCCAAACCACCAGCTTCTTGTCCATGACATGGTGTATTGAATGGCCTCTCACCTGGTCACAAAAGAAGCGTGGTGTTGCTAAAACATAGACCCTTTGAGATATATTCTTTTCTATACTTTTTTTTTGTTATAAGAATATATACTATGTTCTTCTCTTTTTCAGGGCCTTGTGTGCTCAGACGGGAAACACTGCTGCCCAAAAGACCATGAATGCAGTGCAGACAGCAGTTTGTGTGTCAAACTGAAAGGTATGGAAGAGACTGAAGGAATGAAGGTGGACTAGAGACTTTTCATGATTAAATCATCCTTTATTTAAAGGAGATCCCATATAAATTTATTACGGGTTTACAGTAGTAAGATTAACTGTATTCATTAGGATAGAATATAAGTGTGGTTCATGGTGTTGTCCTGTGATTGTTCTTAGAACCAGTCGAGACTGTTCTTTGTGGAAATGGGACCTCAGAATGTCCCATGGACACCACATGTTGTGAGACAGACGATGGTCAGTGGGCATGCTGCCCCATGCCAAAGGTACAGTTCACAGTTCAAATACAGCAATATGTGCAGAGACATGCTGACACTGAGTTCTCAGTTCAGAAAATTAAGCTGTGTTTTTTCACAGTCGGAGAAACATATTTAAATAAATATGCATTTTTGAAACTGAATTTCTTCTATATTTTGAATATTTATCCATTTATTTGAGAGAGAGAGAAAAAAATAAAATAAAATAAAATAAT